ACATGGTGGGTGGCCCTCGAGACATTGAAGGAATTGGAGGACTGCTTGAAGAAGTTGGACAGTGGAGTAGCTCGCAAGCGACGCAATTGGGCCACCCAGCAAAAGGCCGAGGTTAACAAAATAGAAATGGCGAATCAGCTGAAGAGGTCCTGGCAGAACTTGTTGAAGGATCATTTTGAAGAGGCAATGAGGACACCCTCATCAGCGCCGCCATTAATGGCGAATCCCTTCGTTAGAACTGCAGGACAATTAATGTTCACCTGGAGTCTGGTGGGAATAGAGTTGGAGACATTGACCTCGTATGACAGGCTGAAGTTGGGAAGCAAGAAGCTAGATGTGTATCAAGCATTGATGCAACACGTGGCCAGGGACAATTCAGGCTTGAGCCTGGCTAGGAGAAGGGATGCCACATGTTTCTTGAGATGGATAATGTCAATGATGTCTGATAGTACCATCTTGGCATGCCACCAGAGAGCAAGCGGAAGTAAAACCATGGAAAAAAGAGTCTCAACGATCATCTTGAACGTCTATCAGAGTACAGGGATAGAAAAGGAAGATGGTTCCAGACTATCCCTAGAGAACCACAGAAAGCTAGACGAGGTACGGAGGTTTTATAATAAGAAGTTCGAAGAAGAGCATGATGTTCACCGCAACCTGGCCTCGTTAGAGCAGTACTCGAGACCCAGCGAGAAGGGGGAATACCAATACGTGTCAGGAGTGATGGGAATAGCCTACAACCCCTTCTTAGACTCAGAAACTGGAGGCGCTCACAGGAACCACGAGGTGGCGGAGCTACTGAAGTTTTGGACAGAAAGAATAATGGAAATAGACGCGGTGGAGAAAGAGGGGCCGAGCCTGGGCCTGATTCTTGAGAAAACACCGGAGGTGGTGAGCATACCGCGCTCGAACAAGAGAGTTAAAGTGAACATGGGTGATGGCAATGGCTTGCTGATCACGAACTTGGGAGTGGTATGGAAGTTACTAAGACCCTCCTGGTGCCCACATCCCCACGCGAGTCTGATCGAGGAGACCACCGAACGGGTGAGGTTAGCTCCAACGGAAGATGAAGATTTGGCAAAGTTGAGTGTGGTGCACAAACTGATCTTACCTCAGATGAAGGAGTCAGGCGAGAAGACGAACAGTCTCGAGTCAGCCAAGAAGATGGAGCCGGGTAGCTGTCTGGATTCTACGTGTGGGAGTGGAGAGCACACCTGCGATGGACGATCATGTGTCAGGATATTGTCCTTTCAAAAAGAAGATCTGGTTACTTGGTTTGTGCAAATAGTTGCGGAGTGTTACGCGAGAACTACGGTGAATATAGCGACAGCTCTCGGATTCTTCTCGAGAATGTGTAGTCTGCAGTCACTGGAGAGGCTAGAGTCTGAACACCATTTAATGACGGCGTTGAGCGTGGAATCATGGCCGGGAGTGTTGCAGGTGACTCAAAAACATATCCGGAGCTGGAAGGTTGGTCTCGAGGCGGAAATGGGGTTTCCCATGAGCGAAGCTTATGGCCTGCCATTGAACGCAAAATCCCTGATAGGATCGATGATGGCCAATTTGTGCGGAAGCCACTACCCACTGCACATGGCGATGGTGGAAGCATCCAGCCAGAGAATATTGGTGGACAAGGCCTTCTCAGTGCCCAAGTGCGTGAGGTTGGCTCGGATATCGCATCACTCGCACAAGTTGTTGAGAAAAATCAGAGGGACAGTACCAAAAAAATTGAGAGATGACTTGAGTGAAATCTGGGGAGAAGAACTTTTGAAGTTGGAGAGTGAGAACACAAGCGATCACGAGAGACAAAACGTGATCGGAAGACCTGTGGGAGGTGCTCCAAACATGGAAGATAACGACACGATGCATGAGAAAATGATAGAGCTTGAGCCTCTCTTGAAAGCCTCGGGGGAGCGTAACCTCAGGAGCATTGAGATCACCCATGGAGAATGCCCATGCCACTGTTTGGCACAAACGGTGTGGTATCCAGATCACAAGAACCTTTGCCTGGTGTGGGATATGGAAGAAATTCGGTCGATCGGACTACCGGATCACCGGCAGAAGGTGACGCTCTTAGTAGTGAGTACGATGTTGGCTCTGAGATGGATAGAAGAGAATATAACGAAGTATCGGGAAGCGACGACGCCAACGGCTGAGTCAATATATGCGATAGACTACAACAGGAGACTAGAGTTGTTTGAGACCGCGTGCAATGTATTCGCCAAACCAACGGAAGTCAGACACGTATGGAGCCGTTTGAGGTACTTTCCATGGTTTCGGGCGACGCTGACGTCTTGGTTGTACATGACAACGAAAAATCACATGAGAAAGCATCAAAAGGAGTATCGACAGTTCCAGGCCGAGATTGGGCCGGAAGCTTTCAAGAGACCCCTGTTAACCCATCGAAATGCGATCACGACAGGATGGAAGAGAGTGGGTAAAATGTCTAGAGACAATACCAAAGCGAGGGAATCGATACTAGAGGAGGACCTGGCGAAGAACGTGAGCTTGAGCCTGCACAACTCCTTTTGTTTGAACCGGGAATCTAGGGTGAAGGCACTACCCAACCAGGCAAAGAGGTTGCAGGAGCAAAGAGAATGGATGCGATCCTATGAACAGCTGAAGGCTTGGGAGGAGATCGTGATTAGCTCCGATGATGAAGAAGAACTGTTGAGAGTACAACTATAGAAGAACTATCTAGTACTTCAGGGTGCAGCACCTCCAAGGCGAAGAGTGCGAGATGAGTGGATGGTTCGAATGGATCTTGAGTCTTGAGAGGGAAGGGGGGCTTGAGTGTGGATCCGGGTGAAGCCTGGGTTCACGAAAAAGAAATTTTAACGAAACAGATATTGTTATTAATATGCTATATCTATTATATAAATCAAAATGCTGCATGACAATTTCCTAATTGAATGGGACAAAAGAAATTTTAAATAATTGGCTTGAAAAGCGAGAATTCATAGGTGCAGGTGTGTGCAGATTTTGATTGCTGTTCGGCGATAGTGTGAAAATTTTACATGGCCGTGAATTTTGGGGTGTAGATAAGCTTAAGTCTGCTGCAAACTTCTGTAAATGACCACTGGCACTGTACCTTGAGCAACACTCGGTTTTCGGGGACTCACTGGCAGACGACAGCACGCGATGAGGACATCGATCTCGAGTCCGGGGAGTATGTGCCAGTCGGTCATATTTGGAAGTTTGACCTTGAGAGAAGCAAAAAACACTTGATTTTGGAGTGAAATTTAATTTTTCAAAAATTCGAGTGGAGCCTGTCATGTACGATTTTCTCGCGATAACTGAAAACCGAAAAAGAGAAATCAGAACAATCGAGTAACAATCGCGGGAAAGTTGCAAGAAAAATCGCTAGGAAATTGCTATTCGCAATTTCCGTCACAGTAATAATCTAGAGTAGAGCTGTCCCATTCGAAACAGAGACAAGTGTATTCCCACGAACTGGATTATTGTGACTTGACTGGAGTATTATTCTAAACTGGACCAGAGTGAACCTTCGGTGGAAAGGTGGACAGCTTGAGTGTCCCAATGGTCCACATAAAACTGCATTCTAGAGTACAAACTTATTCCTGTTGTTGAAACTAGCAAACATTAAACTCATTTAGTTACACTATTTAATTCTTGAGTTGCTCACCGACTTAATTACTCCCAGTTCTTGAGCGTGCTACAATGTGAGTACCAATTCAAATTTCTAGAGTGTGTTTTATAATTGTTATGTTGAGGTAAGGCGAGTTTTAGGTTGATCCATCTGAAATGGATCAAAGTTCCACTGTCTAATAAAAAGTAACTTAACGGATTGTTCCGACCGGTTTTTAACGGCGTTCATGTATTTTGGGTATCTAGAGACCTAAGTATGGGGACGTTATTAATTCTAGAGTGGGGGGATATTTTGGTAGTAGCCTTTAAGCTGTAACGGGTCGTGGTCTCATGTCACAGACGAACCGAATTGGCTCCGACTGATTTGAGGTAGAAAAACACAAGAGATAGTTTACCTGACTCTTGAGCCAATGGTTATAGGGCCTATTTTTCTTAAGCCTCGTGTGTGACTGCAGTAGACGAATGTTACAGCTTTTTGCTTGACATGTTTAAAATGGATGCAAATGACTGGTAACTGGAGGGACAGTATTTGATAATGACTTCTGATCCTGTATTTCTGCTAAATAATTTAATTTTAGTGCTGAGATAACTTTCTTTTTCTGCAAATCAACGTCCTTTTTCTGCTGAATAACTTTCTACTGCAAATATAAGTTTCTTTTTTCCTTTCCCAAATTTATTATGTTCGCTCGTCTGATTCGATCAAGCAATGATTTCCTGTTTTTCTGCTGATAAATATGTTCTGCTAAAAATAACTTTTTTCTGCTAAATAATTTTCTTTTTCTGCTGAATAATTTTTCTGCATAACAGTTTTCATTTTCTGTGGAATAGCTATAAATTTCTTTTTTTTTCTAAATTGTTTTTCTGTAACTGTCTTTTTCTTTTGCCAAGTTCAGTTTTTTTAATACAGATTTTTGAATAAAGCATGTATGGAATTTTCCAAATTTAGGGTTTGATAATATTATGAACGGATGTTTTGTTTTAATTCGAATAAATTTTCTAGTTCAGACTAATCTCTATCTAAACGACTGTTTTTTTTTGTTTTTAGAGAATTTTCATTTAGTGTCTGAAGATCAGAAAGATCAAAGGCGAAAATAGTGAAAAAAAGAGCAATAAAAAGCCGACTGATTTCTAGTAGTGGTTTGTGGTGAATCCAGACTTAACGTTTTCTCAATGTCAAACTTCCAAACATGACCGACTGTCACATTTTCCAGACGGAAAATATGATTCAATTTCACCTCAAAATTTAAATTTGCATGCAAAAACTGCTCAAAGTTCGCAGATTGCTCTTGTTAATTATTTCTGTCTGTCCGAACTTTTTGCAACTTTATATCAGAATGCTTACGGGTTCTCGTACACTTCTTCACCATTTTAAATTATTTTAAACCGATTCAAAAATGTAGTTTCAGTCGACTTATGGACATCCTAAAACCACAGTGTTTCCGATTCTTTTCTGTTCAGCATCAAAACTTGAGGGTAAGTACGTATCAGTAATAAAAAAAAACTGTCTCAAAATTTTTTTAATGGAGTGTTTTTTTTTAATTATTTTGAGACACTTTTAGACAATGCATCTTGGTGAATGTTTTAGCCGGTTACGTGCCAAAAAGTTGACATACCATAAAGTAGACTCGTCGCTATTTAGCGATTTCAAATTCAAGGTGATAGTACAGCGTATCGTTTTAATGTAAAAAAAAATTAAAATAAATGTCTGAAAAGTTTTTTGACTTGACTAGTTTATCAACGAAGATATCTGGCAGGCGCTGCACGAGATTCAAGTTTGTGGTTGTTTCTGGCAGTAATGTTTTGAAAGTTTTGATTTTTTTTGCTCTTTTTTATTCAACGTGCGTCTTTTTCTAAATTGTAAAATTTTTATGTTGTGGCTCAGCTCTTGCCGTTGCGTACGATTTTAATATTTGACAAGATTGATGTAATTGAGTTAGTTCGTTAATCTTTCGGAGTTTTATTGATTTTCTGCAAATTATTTTTTGTGGTACTTGTTTGAAAAAATTTTTTTGTCAAGTTTTTTTAATTTTATTTTTTTTTCGTTGATTTTGGTTTTTGTTTTTTGCAAGCAATCAATTTTTCCTTGATAAACCCGAATATTCTTGATTGTCGTACAATTTCTTTGGTTCCATAATTTTTTGCGAAGTTGATTGGTAAATTTTGAGTTTTTGGATCATAATTTTTTGGGAAGCCTCTTTTTTTATCCTTTCCACCTACAAATTATCAGAAACAAATGAATAGAGTCGTATAGACTGAGTCTTTTTATGTTTGAGGGGATTGATCATAATGAGAATCCTTAAAATGTTTCCATTTTTCAGCCGACAATTTTAATTGCATGTCTTTTCATACGAGCCAGATTGTCTTTCGAAGTTTTGTGTTTAATTTTGTATCGCAAGGGGTGCGAAGCCCTGCTTTGCCTCTGTGTCTAGGGTATTTCTCCGATCTAAAAACATTCAAAATTTAGCTTGAATCACGTAATTGTTAATAAAATATAAGTTTTCGGATGATTGCTGGCAGAATTTATGTCGCTCAAATTGTAATTTTATTTTGTTCAAATTGAAAGATTAAGTGTATGGCAATATCGTAAAAGACTTTTGTCGTTAAAATTGGGTTTGCAGATAAGCTTATTCTAACAAGTTTAATTGCTGACACATGAAATTGCTGGCATGTTCAATATTTTGAAAATCCGAATTCGGTAATTAGACTGGTTTGTTTTACGTACTAAAAATGTTTTTTTTTGTCGATTAAATAAATGTATGATTCCTGGTGGGCTGTCTTTGTAAATGAAAACATAGTCAGTTTCAAACGCATACAAAAATCAAGCTTTATTTGAAAAATCTTTTTTTCAATTTGAAAATTTTTTTGTCAAGTTTTTTGAATTTTAATTTTTTTTCGTTGATTTTGATTTTTGTTTTTTGCAAGCAATCTAAGTTTCCTTGATAAACCCGAATATTCTTGATTATCGTACAGTTTCTTTGGTTCCATAATAAAAGTAAAGTTGATTGGTAAATTTTGAGTTTTTGGATCATCATTTTTGGGCGAAACCTCTTTTATAAGCCCGCGGGTAAACGCCAAGCTCCTGAATTTTGTTTGGAAACCAAGTATCAACTAAGTACCAATATTTTGAAAACAAATTAACAACATTTTAAAAACCTTATTTTTAAAATGCTGGTACTTTTTCAGGATAAATGTGTTTTTCAGAAGGTTTTTTAACGAGGTTGACAGAAGTGTTTGAGTTGTTTAATTGCCTTTAATTATCTTGTAGCTATAGTTCGATTTATTCATCTTTTAATTTAAAATCAGTTTTCGATCTATTCTTTGGCCCTATCTATGGACATCAGCTTTTTTCGGGGATAGAGATGGCAAAATAGTAGCTTTTTAAACAGTTTATTTATGTTGAATTTTTAGTGCTTAGTTCTCAAGCTTTTTCACGTTATAAGGAAAACGTCTCACATTTTTTCAGCAAAAATTCAGCTGAAAAAAATTTAATCATATCATTGGGCCAATTTTAAAATTTTTTACGCCTGTGATTGGCAAGCGTTATCTAATCGGAGTATACATTTTTTTTTCGGGTTAACAACTAGTTTAACGGAGTCACTTGAATCAATTGTATCTTGGTCCATAATGCATTCAAACTTCTATGAGGGTCCGACACTTAGCCTGAAGGTGAAGAAAACGCCTGGGATGCCCAAGGTCGAGGGTTTAAATCTGATCAGGAATTTTTTTTCAAATTTCCTTTCGTAAAAATGTCGCCCTATAGTTTATCTTTAGTTTTGTCAGCTTAGTTGCCGCATCGTAGAATTGATTTTTGATTTTTTTGTTCGCAATTTTCAGTATAGCTGCTTTTGGTGTTTTGAATCTCTCTTGCAATTTTAAATTTTATTAGCCTTTTATTTTAGTGTTTTTGACCTAATGTGCGGAGTGGTTAGTGCTTTAGAAGCATAATCTCAAGGTCGCAGTAGGACGAAGATCGAATCTGAGACATAGTTTTTTTTTTTTAACTAATTCGAGGCTCATTTCTATTTTTTCTTATTGCACTTTATAGTGGTGCTTTTTATCGTGTTCTGGCTCGTGTTAGCGAACGAAGCTTCACCTCCTCTGTGCTCTGTGTAAGACAAATGCAACTAATTGGCAAGAAAAAATAATCAATGAGATTTATTTGGTCGAAGAATCGATGAAATTGCTGCGTATTTATGAGCATCCATAAGATAACTTGGTATTGAGGATGAGGGTGATGTTTTTGCATTTATCGAATACACCAATATTCTGAATCTGGTTTTTACTAAATCATACGGCCAGGAAGGTTGTTTGCTTGTCTGGGTTGAAATTGTATTGCTTCTTTAGATGTTTCGTCGGACTTCCTGGATCCTAAAGAGACGCTACCCTCCTCGAGCATCGCAAGATGGAAAGCCAGTCGAATTAGAACCAGAGAACTTTGTATATGATGTTGTTGAATGCACCCACGATAAAAAGAGACCTGACATTGAGGCTATTTTCGTCCAGGATATCCCAGGCTTTGCTTACAGGGGTGAAATGCGATTTGTAGATCGAGAGAAGTTCAGAAGAGAACTCGTTCCTCAAAAGTTGGCAGTTTATTCGTCGCAATTTAATCAGAATTGGTACAAAGTTGCGGATAATTACAGAAATGGAGTCTTTCTAAGAGATGGAGCTACGAGTTCAGTTTTAGACATAATGAGTTTTCTCAAAGACTTGACTTTAGATTTGCAGGTTGAAGTTTCGCCGACAACCGAAGAAAAAGTTCTGGTCAATTCACAATTCATATCATTAATGCTGAAACTGAAACATAATTTGGTTGTTAATTCACATGCTGTCAAGATCAAGAACGAATTGGGTGGATTTTCAGAGCCCGGAATTTATGAAGTTGATATTGTTCTCAATGAAACGCATGTTTTACCACTTAGAGTGAAGTTGGCAAATAAAGAATCAAAGTGATGCATGTTTTTGAAAAATCCTGATGAAATAGCGGATAAAGGATTTTTGAGCGCTGTTGTCTGTTTTTTTTTGTTTCCTTTAGAAACTCAGCGTATAAGCCGTTAGCGGTAATAGATACAGGGCGGACTTAAAAGGGGATCTAAAGCAACCCCCCCTCCATAAACGCTATAATCCAATTTTCATGCCTTATGATGCCTGTGTTCTTAAGATTTATTTATTTTTCACAAATTTCAGAAAATTCGATGCAATGTAGATTTTATTTCTAATAAAACGAGTGGACCGGTAATTAATCTGCACCGTCACTAGACATGGGTGTCGGGGGATCCCTTCTGAAGGATGACCCTGAAGATAGTCAGTTCAGAAGAAGAAACCTTATCAACTCCTCGCGTGCCATCGAACAGCAAATCCCTGTAGAGTTCAAACCCCGGAAAAAGCTGGGCAAAAACAGAAACCAGAGTAACCCAACAACCTCAGTGCAATCATTGAGTAATTCGTTTACCCAATATGGACAAAGCGGATCTAGTTTTCAGAAAAAGAAAAACATGGGCGCATCATTAAGATCTGTTCTTTCAAACGAAAGCGGGTTTGATCTGGACAGCAATGTTGAGCTTGAGAAACTAAGACGAGAATTCGAAAACTTTAAATTGAGCAAACAAAATGAGATATCAGATATGCAGAGACGTGAAAAGAAACTAGAAAGTGAGAACAAAAGGTTGAGAGGCGAAGTCCAGGCGTTACAGAAAACATGTACCAGATTACGCAATGAGCGGGAGTCAGCTTTGGAAAATGAAGCTCAGGCTTTGGAACGTGCAAGAGCATTCGAAGACGACAGAAACAACATTCTAACACAGTTGAGACAACTGCAGGAATCGGAACCCTTACAGAACTACTCGCTGAGCTCACCAACGGCTGTACAAAACAACAATAATGCGGGAAGAAACGAATCAGAGCATGGAAACAGTGATACAAGTAGCAACTCACCGCAACGAAATGTAGATCAGATTGTGGGAACCCAAGTAGTTCCTGCTTCGGCACGGGATCCTGACCTCCATTTAGACTTAATGTCACCAAGCTCAGTTAGTCTGGCAACAAGCGCACCTGCATCTGCAAACAGAAGTAGAGCCTCACACGTCGAGACTTTCAAGTTCGAAGCTAGTGTGAAACATGCGGTTCCAACACCTCCGGTATTTTCATACTGGCCTGGAACTACGACCCATGTTTGGTCCTCGTTGGAATTTGTCTTTGGCTACTTTGAACAACAATTAGAAGACGATGTTGATCTATTTATGGATGCGTGGTGCTCAAAATATGAGGAAAACCTATTGGAAAATCATGGTCTGAAAATGAACTGTTCTTCGAAACTTTTGGCTCCGGAGAATTTGCAGCCGCTTATGTCAACTGCAAACGTCTTTGTGATTTTTCTAGAAAGCAAGATAGCGGAGGCAGATTATAAAGCACTGCAGAATCTGGTTAATGTGATGAAATCTAGTTCAACTTTGAAAGCATTGTTCTGTTTCAAACAGACAGAGCAAAGTTGTATAAATGGAAGCATGGCAAGACTGAAAAAGTTGTTGTCGAAAATCAACTCAAACGAGAGTCAATATTGTTTATTTATTGAAAACTACCAACAAATGGAGCCATTGGTTGATCTTGTCAATGAATCGATTGACCAGTTCATTAAAAATCAGTTCTCAGATGGTGTGTTAGGAGAGTGCTCTTGCTATCGTGATATGCGAGGCTTATTATATCAAAAAGATGCTTTTTCGTCGATCCTGGAAAACCTCCCGACATCCCAACAAATGTCAAGCATTGATCAGTATGTGTTTTGCATCAATAGGCACATCATAAAAGATGGTTATGTTCCTCCGCTTATTGTTAAAAGCGACCCTGGATGCGGAAAATCAACTGTTGTGGCTCATTTTTTGCGAAAGCACAAAAACAGCAATCCCGCGAACAAAATCCTTTATCATTTTGTAGATACGACACTGTGTTCTCAAGATGGTGGCACAATGATGCGACGATTCATCGCCAGTTTGAGTTCTACGGGGAGTTTTGTTGGCTCGAATTCAAAGCAAAACACTAATTTTGACAGTTTTTCACAACTTCTGGAAACATTTCCCAGGCAGAAAGTTGGAACTCAAGAAGCCTCTGCTAACAATTTGTCATCTGGGACTTCTTTGCTGGTTATTTGTATTGACTCTGCGGATAGATTGTCAGATTGTGAGAAAGTTCTAGAATGGGTGCAAGATCCCTTGCCTCCCGATGTTCGAGTGATTTTATCAGTTGACAACAATACCTGCCCGGTCGCATGGGCTTCCATGACTAGTATCAACATCAAACCCCAAGCTGCCATATACACTTCCCACTTGAACGAGGCGCAGAAAAAGAAAGTATCTGAACTGGGAATCAATTCGCCTTTCTTCGCGAAACTCCTGACGAAGGTGGATTTATCGCACATACCTCCAAGTATCGTCACGAAAGTTTCCAATAGTCCGAATTTAGGCAAAGAAGTGACATGCAAAGCTCTGATATCGACTGTTGCTCACCTAGCCAATAACAATGTAGGCAATGTTTATAAGGTACTCTATTTCATAACACAGGCGGCACAAGGCTTGTCATCCTATTGTATCATTGAGATGTGGCGCCAGTTTCATCCCTCACTTACTCAACATGACATCAAGCTTCTGCGGTTTATGCTAGAAAAGTTGCATATTTCTAAAATTGTGTCTGTGCGTTTGGGAAATTTGATAATTTCTTCGCCCTTTCTGAAGCGTTTGGTTATTTCAAGAATGCAGGAAAAAGATGCAAGCTTAGTCAAAGAGTTCCCGAATAAATTTTTGATTGGATTGGAAAGCCCGTTTCAGTTGAGTGATCATTTACCATTGGAAGTTATTATAGAATGTCTAATTATTCTTACCAGTGACGAAAAATATCTCGATCGGTTGAAAAGTTTTGTATGCCGTGTAGTAGTGTTCATGCATCTATTCAAGTTCGACTTAACAGCAGTGATTATGGAAGTGTTTGCAAAATTAAAAATCGGAAAAGAATCAATCACGGATGAGTTTTCAAATGAGCTGTCACAATTGGAGCAAAAATCTGATCGTAATAATGTGGAGTATCTTCTTGATGCGATAGAATCATTTGCTGTGTTCAATGCAAATTTGAGCAATTTTTCGAAATCAGCGTATCTATATGAACGGAGTCTTGAGATCCGAGAGTTGAATTTAGAACCTGACCACCCATCTTGTTCGAAAACTCTTTATTTGAACGCGCTTTTGCACTTTAAATGGGACAAAATTGACGTTGCGGAAACACTTCTGAAGCAGTCAATTGATGTGTTGCAATCCTCGACGCCTACGTCAAATGATACTCCTAACTTAAATTACATGCAATTCGTTCAGAATTGTGAGTTACTTGAGCTCATTTACCAGAGGTTAGGAAAGGTCAAACAGTTCGAATCGAACTTCAAGAAGCTCTCCTATCTGAGATCGATGACAATCATACAAGAGTTTCTAGAAAACGGATCCTCGGAACCTTTCAGTGCCTCGACTCTAGCAGAGTCAACCCCGGATTCTGTAGCGAAGGCAAATCACTTGAATGAATACGCAGTGCTTATGTTCTATCAAGGAAACTTCGAAGACGCAGAAACGTCTTTTAAAGCATCATTGGCCATCAGAGAAAAACTCCTCGGGGAAAAACATGCAGACTGTTCTCAATCCTTGTTCAATTTGGGAGGCCTCTACTTTGAACGAAAAGATTACAACAAAAGTGTGGATTATTTCGAAAGAGCTGTAGCGATCCGTAAACAGCCGATGTTTAACAAGAATTTGTTAATGACTAGTTTGCAGTGGTTGGTTATTGCATATAGAAAGTCAGGGAGCAGAGAAAAGGCACTTGAGTTATTGAAGGATCTTGTCACTTTGAATATTGAAACACATGGAGGTAATCATCAATTCGTGGCTACTAATTACGCTAATATGGCTAGTATTTACTGCGAAATGAAGCAATTCAAAGATGCTTTGCCTCTGTTTGAAAAAGCGTTACATGCGTTTAAAGCTGCCTTGGGACCTTATGATGTCAAAGTTAGCGATACGTTGAACAATATGGCATTGCTGAAGTTTGAAATGAACGAGTTAGACGAAGCAGTTAATCTGTACAGACAAGCTCAAGAATGCAGGCAAATAGGACTGGGTTTGAGGCAGACTTCGGCGTCGCAGCTACCGCTAACCCCGACACAGAGTCGCCACCGGAGGCTTGGTTCGGATTTCCAGTCGCAGCAGTCACTAAACAGTGTGCTAGAGTAACGCTTTTCACTAGAAATGAAAATGAAGAAAGAACTATCTCGAGGACAGAATTCTTTTTTAAAAGCTACTTAATTTTGTGCCTTAAATGTTGATAGATAAGTTTTAGAAATTGTGTATATTTTTTGAGAATAGCTTTTTTCTATTTTCTAGATCAAATGAATTATATAATTTTTGAATACCTCATAGTTTTCAGATTAAGGTTTTCTAGCAGCGACCAATTCGCCATAATGCATAATTAACTTAATTATTAACTTAGTTTTTTTTATGCATTTGGTAAATGAAGCAAACTTGAAAGGGTATAACTATTTTTGCAAAATTCATGCCTAAATTTCACAAAAACTAGTCTTTTTCGGGTAGATTCGCGCTCAATCTTCGGATAGTTTTGAGCCGAATCTACCTTGTCAGTTGTTAACTAATTTTATTTAAGTTATCATTTTATTTGGTCATAATTTAGGAGGGATAAAAAGTATTAAAGTTGGGGGTAATTTTAAAAAAATATATTTGTGTTCAGACTCTTATATAGGTCACGATGATTGTTTTTGTTTTTCTGGAAGAGTTTTTTTAATTTTGTTCAGGCTCAAATTTACTTTTTGCTTTTTTGTTCATTTCCTTAGTTGAAAGGAAGTCAAACTCCACTATCAAACAGCAAAAAAATAAAGCTCTCGAAAAACGTGATCAACTTTTAGTTTCGAAAATGGATTTTATTTTCAGACTTCCTGGCAAAACAAAAATTTTTCAAATGGTCGCATTAATGAAAACCGAAAGGATGCGTTCTAAAGATTTTAATGGATTAATAAACACAATTTAATTGATTTCTGTGCAAGGAGCACCAAATTTCAAGACTTTTGTTTATTTTGAATTTGAGTAATATTAACTGAAAGAAGATTTTTCTAGGGATGATACTAAAAGGTTAAATCCAAATATGATTTCCGGTTGCTATGAGTAAACCGGAGAACATTTTACCTCATATATTGTTGAAAAATATCAAGAAAAAATTGTTTTTCACTGACTTCAGACATTTTTGACGTTGGGATCTAGGAGGGGAGTTGAAAATTTTGCGAACATTTAGAACATTTATAAGAGAATCCTACATTTATAATAGGATTCGTGTAGGAAACATTTAGAACATTTATAATACGAAACAGTGTCCCATTTATAATAGGACACTGTTTCGTATTCGTGTTAAAATAGGATTATGTTCTCTTTAAATATTGTTCAATTTCCTGATTTAACTGCCTTGCGACGAATTGTTGATTTTCTAATGTGGAGAAATTGCAGCTGCTTGCCACAAATTGTGGTCATGCCGTTTTGTTTAGGCAGTGGCAGAAATCGATTTGATTGCCACTCGGAGCTCCATGCATTTGTATCTAATTCACATTGCTTCAAGAAAACTTATAGTTTGTACTAACAAGATTGAACTAACCGTTTTTTAAATAAGTTTTTAAATATAATTTGTTCTTTATCACGGTTTTGGTTGAATATATCAATTTATGGATGCAATTAGCGCGAACCTAAATAGTGCGTTGACATACCATAGTTGCAAAGAGCAACTGCTTATCAAGAAAGGGAAGTTTTTGAAGGCCTAGAGATGTTCCGAAACCGAATGGGCTGATTAATTTTGTTGTTGGAAAAATTGTACTTTCTCAGTAAATGCATGCAAATTGCGATATTTTTGATTTTGCTGTATTTTGTTTGATCTTTATCAATTAAGCATGATATTTTTGTAGCCAGCTTCCTTTGCTGTGATTGGTTCGCTGAGATGGTGTGTTGCAAAAATGTATTCCTTTATCCTTCGCTGAACTTGAAGTCATGTGATAGTTCATTTCGAGGTTAAAAACCGTTCGTCAATAATAAAAAATAGATGGTTGTAAGTTAAATTAAACAGGCAGAATGTTACATTAAACAGCAAGTGTAAGGCGAGTTAGTGCTGAAAACGGAATGATTTCACATAAACATCTAGTTTATCAATTAACCGATTGCCAATTTAGCGTAAAAGTTTCTATTTCAATAAAATCACTAAGCTACGATTCATTTATTTTTCGCGATACCATTTCAAAAAACAATCTTCTTGAAAAGTTTTAGGCTCATTCACACATCTTAACCGCGTAAATATGAGCTAATGCCGATAATCATGCTAAAAAACAACAGTGGCTGGATTAAAACTCAATTTTTGTACCACAAAGTGCATCGTGACTGCAATTCATAGCAAACCAATTCATTTCTAATTCAGTTGAATTTTTTTAGCTTAAAACAAAAATAAAGCAAACAGCTTTTTCAGGCATCTCTCTTAAAATGAGTTTTGACAATTCCTGGCACCACAAGGAACAATTTAGCTGGCCGAAGCAGTTTCCACTTTCCATAAATGGAAAGAGACAATCGCCGATCGACATCCGAGAATGTGACGCCGAGAAGGTTCTGCTGCCAAGGTTCAAACTCGAGTTAGTGGAAGGCGATCGACATGCCGAGTGGACTTTGACGAATAACGGACACACGATCTGTGTCGCGCCCCCTAGCGGTGTCAAATGGCAATTGTCTGGAAGCATGTTGAAAGGCAATTACATTCTGGACCATTTCCATACTCACTGGGGAGAGGGAGGAGACTATGGGTGTGAGCACTTGATTGACGGCCAGAAGCATTCCGGTGAGACTCATTTTGTCTTCAAATGGGCTCCAGGACAGGGAAAGGAAGTGGAAGATGTTGCAGCAGTGTGGGGAATCTTCATGGACGAGGGTCCCGAAAGCGATCCCGCAGCCGCAGATGTCTTCGATGAAGGTATCGGATGCTACATCCACAAGGTGTTAAAGCCAGGATCGGTGCAGATTCCGGCTGTCAACTTCGGATCTCTGGTTCCTCACGGGACCTCAGAGTACTTCGCATACCAGGGATCCCTGACTACCCCACCATTCGCCGAAGTGGTTTTCCACATCGTGTTCAAGGATCCGATTCGAGTTGCAAAGAAGTACATGGATCAGTTGCGTCGTCTGGGGGATTTGAGAAATGAGAAAACTGAGGCGAACTACCGATGGATTCAACCTCTAAATGGACGCAAGATTTTCTGGTCTTGTTGAAAAATCGAATACTATTGAAAGACGAATTTCCACTGCGAAATGAATATGGACACAACTGATAGCTTTAATTTGCAATATTTGTTTCCCAATAGACTTTCTTGTATTAATGCGTAGAGACTTAAAGTTTATTATTATGGTGTTAATTGGTTTGTATGGTAGCCCAAATTGTTTTTTTAGAAGTTGTTTTTGAGGTACAGAGTTGCGATCAACTTCAAAGTACGTAATTTTGTTCGTATACATAAAACACCGAGTCAGTAATGTGTTGGGGGTCGCCACTGTCTCCCGTCAGTAAGTTGCCGTCTCTTGCATACGATGCTTGCTGAATCGAGCGTATGGAAGACTAATTTCAAGCTTTCATTTTTCCGGAAATGAGAGCCAAGAGACGATGTATAACTCAGAGCTGAATGGTAAGGCGTATAGTGAAACGAATACAGGAAGTCTCAATCGATCACTCTGTAGCTTTCCTTCAAACAGGACTAATTTTTAGGAATTTTCTGTATATTTGGTTATTAAGAGTCGATGAATGTAGTTCATTCAGACTCTTATACAGATCGCGATGATATTTTTGTCGGTTTTTTCATGAAAAGTCTCAAAATTTGTTCAGGCTCAAATTTACTTTTTCGCTGTTTGACTTCTGATTTTTTCTTAAGTTCAGTTACTTACCTTTGTTAAAAGGAAGGCAAACTCACTGTCGAACAGCAAAAGTGTAAAGGTCACTAAAAACTTTATCGGCTTCTAGTTCAACTAGAAGTCGAGAAAGTTTTCCGTGACCTTTACGTTTTTGCAATATCAAAGAAAGTTTCGAAAGTGGAATTTAATCTACTGATTTCCCACCGAAATACAAATTTTAATTTTTTGGTCCAGTTTTCTCAAACTGGATTATTTTTATCTAAAAAAAGCCAATCGTAAAATTTTCTGGAACTCCAAGGAGGTTTGAGGGCATCTATTGCTTCCTTCGAAACTCGAATTAAGAAATTTAAAAAAAAAACAAGTTTTTTTGCTTGCGTTTATTGACTCTTTTCCATTGTTTTTTGGCCTTGTTTTTCATGTAATTTACTGTATACATCAATGCTGAAACAAAGTCTTTTCAAAAAATAATGGCCATGTGATGTGCAAATTTGAAAGAAAATTTCGACCGGAAGCCTCTTTTTCAAAAATAGCGGAATTGAATTGAAGCGCTTTTTTCGAATTAACTAACTTAAAAACAATGATTTTTTTTTAGATTTACTTCCAGTTTGTCGTCGTGCTTTGTCCGCAAGAAAATGAGGAGCTTAACGTTTCATAGAATATCAGCCGTGGCTTTAACTAACTAAAACTATTTCATTGCTAATTAAAATAAACAAACGAGAACATTGTCATAAGATTTTCGTTGTTTTTTACCCTTGCGATTAGCAAGGGTTTCACAACAGGGTACTAGACTTTTCCCCGTAAACAACTTTTTTTTCACTGGACTCATCTTCTAATGGTAACTTGGTTCATATTAATTTCAAGTTTTTAGGCTTTTCCGGCACATTAAACCTGTAAGTAACGAATACTTCTGGGACGGCAAAGGTACTGGGTTCGAATCTGATCAGGGCCTAAACGGGAAGTATTCTGTTCCAAATAAAACTTTCGGGCTTTATTTGTCGGGTTTTGTTTTTTGTCGGCTTAGTTAACACATCTTGGAATTAATTTTATTGCTGCATGCAATTTTGTTTGTTATTGCGTTCAGTGTTTCGATTAACTTCTCCAATATGTAATTTTACTTATTTTTAACTAAGTATTTATTTTTTTGTTGTTTCACTTTTATTCAGCCGAAGCTATTTCAGTTTTTATTATTGTATTATAGACATCATTTTATGTCGTTTCAAGTGAAACACAACAAATTTTATGCTCCCCTTCGGATCTGAAAAGGTGCGAAAATTCTTGGAATAAACTTTATAATTCAATGTTTTTCATGACAACAATTTCGTTTTGGGTTCTAAGGGAAATTAACTAAGTTTTGTCGGCTTATTTTACATTTGATAAAGGCGATTATATTTTAATTAAACAGTTTTTTTTAAATAGTAATTTTCTAGATTTTTTTGGACGTAATTGATTTTCTTTCCGATCTGCTTTCTTGCAATGCTCTCTTCTTGTGCCATCGATCGCGCTTAGTGTGAAGCTCCGCTGCGCCTCTTTGTTGATGTTCCTTTTTAGAGATTATCAAATTTCAGTAACGGCTGGGCGGTAAATAAAGTTTCAAAAACTAGTTAGTCATGGCTAAACCTCGATTTACCGTAATGTAATTGACATATTTGGTCGCTTTATTTGCTCTCAGCTAGACTAAATATGTTTTTTTGGGTAGCTTTTCTCGGCAATTGTTTTCAATATCAATCAAACCACCTTTCAAAGGGTTTTGACACTGTGTAGCATTTGAATCCATGTGAAGTTTATTTGTGGTTCCTGATACTGTGCGGAGACAAGAAAAAAATTGCGTCGAATTGCGATGAACGTCTTTCTTTGCAGCTAACATTTTAAAACATCTACAAGTCTCAAAGTTACTCAAATTTCCTACATTAGAGGGGCTCGACTTGAGAAAGAGGGGATGGCAATTACTAAGCATAAGAACAAAAAGACCACCATAGGGCAAAAATTTAGCTCCCTTCAATATTTAGGTTATTCAAGTTCCTGACAGATTTTGATGTTACTTCAGCTTTCAAAGTTCATTAAATTGCTTACATTAGTCAGTTACCTACTCTAGGAAATTGAGTCTGGCAATTAACACGCCCTGACTGAAGTGAAAATGCCGCCATAGAGCAAAAAATTCAGCTCCCTACTGAGATGCTCTGCATCACCTTAAAGGCCGCCATAGAGCAAAACGTCGGCTCCCTCAGTTTTTTTTTAAAAATTTTTAAAAGTTTTTTCAAGGTCGGAAAAGTACTTCTGCTCGCAAGTTAACAAAAATAGAAGTTGTTTTCTACTTAGATATGCGTTCATTCGCAGCTGTCATTTGTTTATCTACAAGTTTTAGGGGTTGGCAATCAACAAGCATCATAGAGCAAAAAAAACGCCATTAAGTAAAGCGTCAGCTCTTTTAAAGTTTTCAAGTTATTTAATTTGCTTACAAGCTTTAAGGTTACTTCAGCTTTTGAAGTTATTTAAACTGCTTGTAATAGTCAGCTACGATCTTTAGGAAAAATTTGATGGTATTTAACACGCTATAGAGCAAAAAAAAATAGCCGAAGAGCAAAAATCCAGCTCCTTAAGTAGACACTCTGGACGCGCTAAAAGACCACCATAGACAGAAAAAGTCAGCTCACTACAGTGTTTATTGCACATCTTTAGGTTTCAAAATAACTTAATTTTCAGACCCCAGAGACGCTGCACTTTAGGAAGAAGAGGTTGGCAAAAAACATGCGCCAAAGAAAAAAATAAACGCCAGAGAGCGAATAGTCAGTTTTGTTTATGATTTAAAATTATTCAAATCCCTTAGAAGTTTGAAAAGTTACTTACGTTAAAGTCATTTGCTTATTAATTCTGCCTTTTTGTGCAGCTCACATATTGTAATATCTAACATCTTCCAAGTTACCTACATTGGAGGGGCAAAATTTCACGAAAAAGGGCTGGCAATTACCAAGCATTTTCCAGCAAAAAGACTGCAATAAAGAAAAAGAACAGCTCCACTTAGTTTTTATAGTTATTTTAGTTACTCACAGGTATTAAAGTTACTTAAAGTTAATGAAATTGGTTAAAATAGTTGGTTACGTACTTAGGAAAGAGCGGTTGGTAATTAACACGCCATACAGTAAAAGAAATGCCAAAGAGCAAAAATACAACTCCTGACTATTACGAACCGTAGAACGAAAAAAGCGCCATAAACTGAAAAGTCAACTACCCCCAGTTTTTACAGTTATTTAATTTACTCACAGGTCTTAAAGTTACTTCTGCTTTTAAAATTACCTAATTTGTTTACATTAGTCAGCAACATGCTTTAGAAAAAGATGCTGGCAATTAACACGCCATAGAGCTAAAATACCGCCATAAGGGGAGAACTCCACTCCCGACTTTAGGGAAAAAAGCTGGCAATTGACGCGCCATGGAGCAAAAACATCGCCAATTATCAAAAAGCAAGCTCCCTACTCAGATTCCATACAGTCCCTAAAACACCGCCAAAGAGCAAAAAATTAACTCTTGCCGTGTTAATGGCAGATCTTCCAGTTTCAACGTTTTTTCAGCTGTTTACCTCAGGGGTGCTGCACTTCAGGAAAAAAATGCTGGCAATTAGCATGCACCATTGAGCGAAAAATCAGCTCTGTTCAGTTTTTAAAATTATTAGATCTGCTTACAGGCTCAAAAATTACTCCAGTTTTCATGAGTGTCAAGTTAAAGTTTCATCCCACTTGATGTTCCTTTCTGTGCAGTTCCAATTTTTCAACATCTACAAGTCACCTAAAGTTATCTAAGACACTTAGATTAGAGGCGTTGCGTTTTAGGAAAAAGAGGCTGGCATTTCACCCGCGCCAGAGAATAAAAAGATCGCCATAGAGCAAAAAAAAATAACTCCCCTCATTTTTTATAGTTTTTCTATTTTCTTACCTGTTGTAACATATTGTAATAGTTATTCTATAAGTTACCTGTTGTAATAGTTAATAATGTTGCTTACATTAGTAAACTACATACTTTAGGAGAAAGAAGCAGGCAAATTCACGCCATAGAGCAAAAAGACCGCCATTGACCAAAATGTAAGTCCCTATTTAGGTCAAAGAGGCTGGAAATTAATACGACGTAGTGCGAAAAGATCGCCAAAGACCAAAAGCCATTCTTTACTCAATTGCACTACACTCTCTAAAAGACCACCACAGAGCAAAGAATCAATTCCCTACAGTGTTTTTTACTTTTTGCGCATTTGCAGGTTTCAAAATTACTTAAATTACATACAGGCTGTTTGTATCTCACATTTTTGTCCATCCAAGAATTTAAAGTAACCTAAATTTCTGATATTAGAAACGCTGAACCTTGAAAACTGAGGCTGGCAAATATCATGAGCCTTAGAACAGAAAGACCGCCATGGAGTAAAAAAATCAGCTACCCAAAACTTAATTGTTCATTTTCAGATTTAAAAAAATGCTGAGGTTTCTTATTTTTTGAAGGCACTGAACTTTAGCGAAAAAATCGCCAAAGATCAAAAAGCAAGATCCCTACTTAGTTTCGACACACT